TGAATGCAACATTAAAATACAATTGGTTGATATTATTGTTTTAGTCAACCTTAGAGTATAAATAATGAAGAAAAAATATGTACAAGAATACAAAACTAACTTGGCTAAGTAAAAAGAAGAAATTTCATCCTCATTTTCATGCCATGTGTATTCATTCATTGATCATCACTCATCAAGATAATAATATCTTTATTGCACTAAATTTGACATAAGGGTGTGTTTGGCATCTAGTAATTTTCAAAAAAAAAAAGTTTCTTTCTTATCAACATAATTAAAGTAGAAAATATTTTGTGAAAATATGTTTGTCAAAGATTTGATGATAATATTAACAAATCAAATAGTATTGATATGATTTATTTTTTTTTGAGTAATTCCTAATAATATCTAAGGGTGTGTTTGATATCTAGTAATTTTCAAAAAATGTTTTTTTCTTATCGATTAATTCGGTAAGTGACATATGAATAGAATAGAAGGTATGCAAATAGCTTATTCCTACTTTTTTCAATATTTTATTGGAAAGTAGATAATATTTCGTGGAAAATATGTTTGTCAAAGATTGATAATAGTATTAACAAATCGAATAGTATTAATATGTTTTTTTCTCGAGTAATTTTTAATAATGTGTCTAAATATCAGTCATATAATATTAAAAGTTGAAGATAATTCTAAAAATAACTTCATCCAAAAGTTAGAAATATCCGTTTTCCCTTTGCAAATCATATTTTATTATTATTTTTTAAAAATACTGTTATTACAGAATTCGTCACTAATCTATTATATTATATATATAGCAAGTAACTCAACAATTTTTAATAATCTATCATTGAATAAAATTAGCAATACATTTTTTGTTGTTCAATAATAAAAATTGTCTATCACTAACTACTATTATTTCTAAAATGCGCACACAAAAATTGTCAATCACTAACTCATTATATTTTTTTTATATATATCCTCCATCAAACCAAACACTCCCTTGATTGGTTTAGTTGATAAGACAACTTTGACCCTATCTTCTTCACAACGTGCTATATATATATGGTGCTACATGTTAAAGGTGTAGAAACACACTAAAAATAACTTCTTCACTACTAGAAATATTATTTTTTTTTGTTTCCAAAAAAAATAAAAATGGTGCAAATAAATATAAAAATTGCAATTTCATTTGTGATTGTGATAATTTTCTTGAGATGGATATGGAAATTCTTGGATTGGGTGTGGATTCATCCAAAAAAATTGGAAAAAAGACTCAAATTAGAAGGTTTGAAAGGAAGTTCTTACAAATTTTTACTTGGAGATATGAAGGAAATTAATTCAATGGTTGAAGAAGCAAAATCCAAGCCTATTAATTTCACTAATGACTATATTTCTAGAGTTTTCCCTCACTTCAACAAGTTAATGATGCAATATGGTATGTCTATCTCGTCTCAGTTTATACGATATAATTTAATTAAGTTTATATTCTTTCGTTTTAATTTTTTAAAAATATTATTATATTTATATCTATTTTTTTTATTTGATTACTTTTTTAGGATTTGACATATATGTTCATTTGAATCTTTTTACAAAATCTGAACAATATAAGATTGATTAAAGTTTAGAAAATTTGAAAAGTGTGATCTTTAAATATTTGTACCATTTATGTGGTTATAAATTTTTTTAAAACTTTGTAATCCTAAATATCAAAAAAGGACTAAGAGGTTTGAAAAGAGTAGTCTGTTCACATTGCTATAATAAATTATTTACACTAGTATAAATACAATTTAAGTGGTTATAACAAGTTATTATTTATTTCCTAAATTACCATATTAGGATTAACATAAAAGTTGGACTTTTAAATCAGTTAAATATGATAAGTTTGAAAAATTACACTATCAGTATATAAAAATTATATACTTGTAATTTTTTGCACTCACTATATAAGTAATGTTATGATAAGCTTCAACTTATAATCTAAAACTAGTAAATAATCTGCTATGACATGTTAAATTATATCGTTGGATCATTTTTACCTATTTGTTTCAAGATTTTTAATCTTACATTTAAGTATTATGTGAAATTTTAAATAATCTAATAATGTACGATGTAATTTATACTGACGATATATGTAGTTTTCAAAATTATTATGTATTTTGTAGGTAAGAATTGTTATACATGGTTGGGTCCAAAACCAACAATGTTGATCTCTGAGCCTGAATTTGTAAGGGAAATTTTATCAAAAAGTTATATTTACCAAAAAATTCAAGGCAATCCAATCACTAAGTTACTAGCACAAGGGCTAGCAAGTTATGAAACAGACAAATGGGCTAAGCATAGAAGAATTATCAACCCTGCATTTCACCTTGACAAGTTGAAGGTACTTTTAATATCTAATTCATTTTTTTTTTCATTCGGTATGTGATATTTATTGTATGGTCGAACGGATTATGGTCATACTTCTTTGACTAGGGTAAGCAATTCATTTAATTTTTTTTATTCGGTGTCTGATATTTATTGTATGATCGAACGGATTATGGTCATACTTCTTTGACTAGGGTATTTGCTTATGTAAAGTTAGAAAGGAAGTTTCCCTTTTTGGTCTTCCTAAATTGCAATTTAGATTCGTGTGGAAAAAAAACTTAATAATTTGTTCAGAATCGGGTAAACAAAAAGAATTATGATTCACAATTCATAAACTAAAAACTTGGATCCACTTTTCTTAAACTCGTCAATTCGAAACCTTTAATCAAGCATAGAGAGGTACTTACGACCCTGTTATGATCTCTAAGGGTCATCCTAGATCCCTTTTTTAAAAATTACATCGGGGTAGTGAAATGGGAAAATAAAGCGGGGTGGGGAGTTAAACCCTCGTCAATAAGATGAGAATTGAGATAGTCAATTAACTGAGTTATTACAATCCCACGCATCTTGAATCACTTTTTTTTTAACTATGATTAATTATTATTATTTTTGTGTATATATAGCACATGCTACCATCATTCTACTTGAGTTGTTGTGACATGATCAACAAATTGGACAATATAGTTTCATCAAAGGGATCAGAGATAGATGTGTGGCCATTTTTGCAAACTTTGACAAGTGATGCAATTTCAAGAACAGCATTTGGTAGTAATTATGAAGAAGGAAGGCAAATATTTGAGCTACAAAAAGAACAAGCTGATTTAATTATACAAGCAGCAAGGTGGATATACATCCCTGGATGGAGGTAAATTCCATTTACAAAATTATACGCGTCGATATATCTTCTGTCAAATTAAAGTAACTGAATTTTATACAAAGGTCATAATAAAGTCGTAAAAACTATATTTTGTCATATAAAAAGTATATATATACACATCCATCCACGATTTGTGGTGGAATGGTAAGTAGTCCTTCATATTTAATCAGAGGTCTCGAGTTCGAGTACCCTTGGATACAGATTCGTCTTTGTTAGGAAACACTTTACTTCCAACGTGGGACTTCCCAGCGCGAATCTGGATTTTATTGTTATACTATTAACTCTTGTTTTTGATATGGAACAATAGGTTTGTGCCAACAAAAAGGAACAAGAGGATAAAGCAAATAGCAAATGAAGTAAGATCATTAGTGTTGGGAATTATCAACAATAGAATAAAGGAAATGAAAGAAGGTGAAGCTACAAAAGATGATTTATTAGGTATATTATTGGAATCAAATTTCAAAGAAATACAAATTCATCATGAAAACAAGAATTTTGGAATGACAATTGATGAAGTGATTGAAGAATGCAAATTATTTTATTTTGCTGGTCAAGAAACTACTTCAGTATTACTTGTTTGGACTTTGATTTTATTGAGTAAACATTTGGATTGGCAAGAAAAAGCTAGACAAGAAGTTCATCAAGTATTTGGAAGTAACAAGCCTAACTATGACATGTTGAATCAATTGAAAGTTGTAAGTATACACTCTTGTTATCCAAATATTCTATCTGTGTGTTTGGTACGATAAAAGTCATTTTATTAATGTTTGGTATGACAAAAGTCAAGAAGCTTTTATATCAAAATAAAGGTAATCATGAGTTTTGACAGTATCATTAAACCTAACTTTTCGAATGAAGACGCGACCTATATGTTGTATGTTACACCTTCTTAGGGTAACGTATCTTGTGAATGACTTCTGTCGTACCAAACATGTTGTAATTTTCAATATTTTTCACTACTTGTTTCTTTCAACAGGTAACAATGATATTCAATGAGGTTCTAAGGTTATATCCACCAGGAACTATGATTGGTAGAAGAGTACAAAAAGAGACAAAATTAGGGCACTTGTCATTGCCTGCTGGGATGTTACTATTGTTGCCAACAATTTATTTGCAACATGATAATGAAATATGGGGTGATGATGCAAAAGAGTTCAATCCAATGAGGTTTAGTGAAGGAGTTAATAAAGCAACAAAAGGTAAATTTGCATATTTTCCATTTAGTTGGGGACCAAGAATATGCATTGGACAAAATTTTGCTATGTTAGAGGCAAAAATGGCACTAGCAATGATTTTACAACACTATGCTCTTGAGTTATCTCCATCTTATTCACATGCTCCTCATACAATCATCACTCTCCAACCTCAACATGGTGCTCCATTGATTTTGCGCAAGTTGTAGAGTCTTGTTCACATCAGAACTCTGAAGTTACGCGTATTTGGTTGAGAGAGTATATAGTACTAAAATGGTTGACCCTAGTCGCATTCCTTCTTTAGTCATCTCCATTTTGTGTTGTAATCGTTATGTCTGCTTGTATGAGTAATGAAATGTAAAGTCCTCGTGTTGAATTTCTCCTTTAAACAACCTTAGTTTGTCTGGGATTGAGACGCAGTTGTTTGTATATAGATTTTGATATATCTACTTTAGCTAGTATGTACTTTACTTTTGTTCTAGCTACAACTCTATGTTTTTGAGCTCTCACCATGTTATACACATACATATTAGCTCAAAATTCACAGCTTTGTCAATAACATCATGGTAGTTTTATTCATAGCGCGGAAATAGGTCGATCACACGACATACTAATCATATAAATCCCGCAACATTACATAGTCATTTCATTACACAGTACTGGTTTGAGCAAAATCACACTGATAATATGATACTAATAGTACTTAGGGTACTAACTTGGTAGTAGATAATATGATTGTAACTCTGGCATTTCACCCTCCGCGGAGAGCATAGCATACGTATAGCTCTCTGCTCCCTGTCAACTACAACGAAATGCAGATTAAGTTCTTGCATAGCTGCTACACTGCAGCCGCGCTACTTCAGACAATCTGATACCTTAGACAAATGCAAAGAAATTACTAGCAATTTCATTTCTTCACGCAGGTCATCATCCATCTAGTTAGCCACGAAAAAGAGAAAAATATTAGGAAGGAAGATGTGCGTGTATTTATAATCTTCGAGAAGGTAAGTTGCTTGATCAAAGGAGATCTTTACCGCTAAGTGCCAAGTCAATTGCAACTTTACATTCAATGAAAAGACTCTGTCTCTGCAAACTGACCTGATGAAGAGTTTTCAGTGATTTATTGCTAACCACATGAGTGGCCAAATCAGGGGCGAGCCCTCGCTCACCAACGCAACCTTCCTGCTCGACTCTGGGAACAGAATTTATGAAATAGAAGTGATCTTCATAAAGCACAGACAAGCTCGAAGAAATTACTGGATACTTTACTTCATGCAGGTCATCAATCTAGTAAACCAGGAAAAATAAAATCATATTAGAAACAAAATAAGGCAAATACTTCTAATCACCCGCAGATATGTTGCACATAAAGATGATAGGTAGTTAGATCATCAAAGTTTTCTTTACTGTTAAACTTCACATTCAAGGACAAAATAACGTCTCTGCCCACAGACCTGAAGATCTCCGAGTAATTTTTTGTTAAGCACAGGAGCAGCTGAGTAAGGCGAGAGCCCTCGCACACCAGTACAGGCTTCCTGCTCCACTCCTGCACTGGTATTTGTGAAGTTACTTAATTGCTATTCAGAATCTTCGTAAACTTCACCATCATCAGAAAGTTCATCAAAAGCTCTAACATCAAGCTGGTAACGGAGAATTCCTCCAATGCCACCAAAACCACGGCAAAACTGAGATCCTTCCTGTGATTTATTGGTAACAAACTCCAAACTACAACCAAATTTCCTGTACTCATTCGCAAACCACTCAAGTAGTGACAATTTATCCTGAACTTCTAATTCAGCATTTGTATCAGGATCACGGAAGTTACTTTGGACAGTGTCTTGCTCCTTGTTCAAGTGCTTAATGATTGTTTCTCCGGAGGTGTTATTTTTCAGCACGTACCTATTAATGTCTAGATTTTCCCACACAATTAGGGTCTCAATAGCACCCATTTCCAGAACCTTCAAGGTATCATCAACCCCAAAAACATACTTCCCGGTGTCCTGACTGATCTCCTCAAAATACTTACCTATCAATTTCTTCTCTTGTATAAATTTCACATTTGCCAAGACCTCGGCAGATAGCTCAATTGCTTGATTGAAACCGTTCTCCCCTCCATACGAAACATCGACCACATTTAAAATCTTTGCCTGAAGACGAGGATCAAACATATCAGACTGGCTAAGCTCCGTCTTAAAGTCAGCTGATCCAGCTAATATCAAGCCTGAAACATTGGGCTGGCTGGTAGCAGGATTAATATAAAATTGGGTTGCAAGCTCGGCTGTTTTTCTCACGTAGTTGTGACGTTTCTCCATCCGAAGACGAGCAAAACGCAGTGCAGACTGACCTCCTCTTCCATGTTTTTTGGGCAGATCAACACTAAACTTGTGAAGGACCTCCCTGGTATTGCCACTCAATGTCCCAAAAAGTGTCCCATTCCCATCCATCACAATAAACCCGAACTTGTCATCGGATTCTAGAAGTTCATTCAGGGCTTCTGTATGGAACTTGTTATCACAAAGATATAGAGAAGCGTTAATGGGCCTGAAGGGCTCAAAATCAATTGTAACCTTCTTCTCTTTCCCATCTTCAGTTATGATTGTTCCGGTATAAAGCACAAGCCCGTTTGGTGGAACCTTATTGTAGAGTTTAAGTCTCTGCTGAGCAGATGTGATTGCACCCAGCACAGATTGACGATTCACTCTACTTTTGATGTTTGACGCAGTTCCAAACTCATCTCCAAGCATCTTAGTGACCCTAGATACTTGATCCCGTGGAGGCATGATTAGAGAAATCATGCTGGTACCATTGCCTCGAGCAGCTTCGAGTGCCTTTATAAGTTTCTTGATCTTCCATATCTCGATATTCTTATCATTATCGTGACTGTCAGCCATCACTAAATATCAACCTGTAGTTCAACGATCCTCAGATTAGTCGAAAGACTCAAGTAAGTAGAGCTAACACCAAGTAGAAAACAAATACCAAACCATCAAATAAACAAATCAATTGACATCTATCGAGTGCTAAACTTATGACGGGCAGAAAAACTTTATTATTTTCGAGTAAAGCTACAATATCCCTTTAGAAGTTAATATAGGAACTTCGACAAGCTTTGTAACAATCCAGCTTTCCCCACATCCACAACCAAGCTTTGTAATGCATCCAATTTTGTACTCACACAATTAAACATCTACTCTCATTGATAATCTTCGCTAGTTCACTATTTTAACACGGCCTAGTGTTACAGTGACAAAACAAGTTCTTCACAGGGGTTAATCTACATAACAAATTTCATTAATCATAACGAGTGTTCAATTATAGCGTGTAAGATTCACTTTCTTTAGAAAAAATTCAGCAAATTCTCCAATAAAAGTAACTACCATAAACTTGATTTATACAATAATATCTAGTTTAAGCAATCAGTTTCATAATCCAAACAAGACAAAAAAAACACAGCATCCATAGATAATAGCGTAAATCATACAGATACTTCACGTAGTTAGATTGATCATACCTCAAATAACAACAAACAACAATAAAAATGACAAATAACAATCGAATAAATCACTCATCAATATGTAAAAAGAAAACACAAATTACAAGTTTCAAACCAAAAAAAAAAAAATCGAAAACGGGAGTTCAGCAAACACACCTTATTGAAGTAACTAACATGAAGTAGATCATATAGTACTCTTATCTAGCTTAAACCATCACTTTCAAAATCCAAACCAAACAAAAAGAAAGGAAACATACACAGAATCTATAGATAACAACATTGCTCGATGCTTCAATTAGTTAGATCGATCATACCTTAAATAACCAAATATTATAATAAAAAAGGGAAAAAAATGAATATATCACTCATTATATGGGAAAAGGGAACACAAATTTCACCTTTTCATACACAAAAAAAGATCCAACACACATAACGTAGATTATATCATAACATCTAGTTCAAATCAAAAACTTCATAATCTGATAATCCCAAACAACAACAAAAACAAACGCAATCTCACAGGTGGAGTCTAAGTAGGGTAGTGTGTACTAGCTTACCCGTTAAAAAAGGTAGAGAGATTATTTTCGATAGATCCTCAGCTGAATGAATAACAATCCAAACCACCCAAACAAAAAAAATACACATGATACATAGATAAAAATATAAATCAATACAAATACTTCATCTATCTAGATCGATCATACCTCAAATAACCAAAAAATCAAAACATATAAACAAATAAATCACTCATTTATATCGCGAAAAATCAACACAAATATCAGCTTTCGCAGAGAGAAAAAAAATACAGTATTTTCTCCAATAAAAATAAATCATACAGTACTATTTAGCTTAAATTTTCAGTTTCATAATATGAACCAAACAAAAAAAAATTAAAAAAATCACAAAATTCGATCGATCAATTCATACCTCAAATAACCAAAAATTATATAAAAAAAACTAACAAATCACTCATCAATATTCGAAAAATAAACACAAAATTCAACATTCAAACTAAAAAAAAATCGAAAATTATTTTAGCTAACGTACCTTATATTCGAGAGAGATGAAAAAAATAAAATCTGCAGATCAATAGAGATGAAAGAAAAGACTGACACGGCAGTTTATGAAATTTTTGAGAAAATGGAGGGGCTCTTATTTATATATAGTTATTTTATAAGGGCCCACAATGAAAATATATTAAAATATTGACTTTTCTTTTTGTGAATTTACAATTTACTCCCTCTAGAGATATTTTATTCTTTTATTTTTTCTTCTTCTTTAAATAGAAATCAAACACTTGGCTATTACATGTCAATTGTTCCTTGGTATTATTTTTTTAGATTTTCGAATCAAACTTTTATTGCGACATGTTATGAATTCTCTCACGATAATAATAGGTTGATTAGTGTCGAGCTTTGACACACGTGTTTTGACTATATATGTTTGTAATAACTCAAAATAAATGACATAACAGTTGATACCCGTCTAAATATGCACTGTTTTGAATTTTGGAAGTTTCACGTACCATTCGTAATATCTGGCGTATGTTAGTCTAAATTTCTACACAAATGATATTAGGTGAGTGTTGAATTCTCCATAAATAGTATATTTTTGAAGAATATAATACATACATAATACGACTCAACATTTTAGAGAGCCCGAGCAACACGAAGTAGTCTCATTGAGATTGCATACATAAAACATATTATAAATGATATTTATGTTAATTCTTGTAGCATTAAATGTATCAACCGCAACACATAACCTCCTAATCACACAACGACAACTGATTAAGAACACAAGTAAATTTACATTTCAATGTATAACAAGACTAATATTGTTACAATGAACTTGCAAAAATTTAACAATTTTCAGTTTTCTTCTGACTATACAATTGTGTTACATAGATGCAGAAAATTAGATTTATATGCACATAACATATACATTTTTGGACAAATTGTCATTTGTGTTCTCTACTGGACAAGCCAAGGAGCATTTCTTCCTGAAATGTACATTAATCGATAGGATGGCAACTCGAGCAGGACGTGCTGCAGTCTCAGCTTTAAAGTTCGAAGAAGCTTACATTTGGTGCATGGAGAGTGTTTAGTTTCATGGTAACGAGGATGTTTCTGCTGATAGAAGATTGAATTCTCGTTCCAAGGTCCACGAAGACTTGTTCTGATGGTTGACGTTGTAGACGTACTCCAGGAAGTATCCGCCATAGGTGATCATAGGTATAGTGGCTCTACAGGATCAAAGTAGATAGATGAGTTAGAATTCCGAAGAGAATTTACTGAGACTTGTAATGCAACAATAGAATTGCACTCCGGTAGCTCATTGCTAGAAACTTATCATACTAGTGAAAATTTTATCACAAAACCAGGGCGAACATTATATAAACCCCAAAAAAGACCTTCAACATTTCTACGGACGTTGAAAATTTGGAAGTTGCTTAATAATAATCAACACAGTCCCAGATAGATGCACAATAATTAACTACGTACCACATAAATGGATACGCAATCACTTTTTCTCACCTTAGTACCACGTGTTCAGGTGTTGCTGTCTCCTCAAATTTCTCTATTTTGCGGATCAACGTATTACTGCATGATAGTATTTACGGAAAAAAGTTTGATGAGAGAATTTCACCGAGATTTATTTCATATAGCTAGAAAAGTAGGCTAATAAACGTCCAATCTGAAGAAAGACAACTTGAATTCAAACAGAAGAGACACAGCTTGCCTTTGTTAAATACGTATCAAAAGTTGCAAATACTTGTGCCAATTTAGTATATGTCAAAAACACCAAATTTAGTTGATATAATGTGTGGATTGAATGGAATACCTTCTCACTCCAGCGGGGACAGCGTGATGCAATATACAATGCTGAGCAGGATCCAGGGCATCGTTAATAGTATGAGGTACTTTTATTGATCCTAGAAGACCAGAAGACCTTGTACAATTTGCAGTAGAAGTAAGAAGGGCAACAAAAAAAGCAAAGTAAATTACGTCTAATTCTTGGATTAGGAAATAGAGATGTGCATGCTGAGCTAATTCCGGGAAAAAGGTGAAAAATTCTAATAGCCAAATGAGCCCGTCAATTATATTCTAAAAGAAGACGAAAGTGAAAAGAGGATGAGAAAGGGATTGTTTGCTCTCTAGCCAATGTTCGGATTCGAGCTGCTTATACAATCCTAAAAGATGTTCTCACCTTTGATTTGGGGGTGAACCCAAAGAGAAAACATGAACAGAACCAGAAGAACTAGTTGCAAGAAGAATATCTGGAAGTTCTGTCGCTGGCGCGAATGACAAAGAAAAGATATTTGAAGAGTATGATCCTCTCCTGAAGCTATATGACTGCAAATGGACACGATCAGATCCATTCAGCTAGTAATATAACAATCAATCAGAAGACATAACTCAAGTGAAGTTGTAACACAAAAGCATCAATTACCAACAATGTAATGACACGTAACGTAACATACCGCAAGTGAAACAGTACTTCCTCACTAGGTAGCTACCTAATTTTTTTGATGCAATAATTACTTTAATGACCCGTTTATAGTTCTCATTTTTCCCAAATATGACTTGATATTTTTTAGAAAGAAAGGTAAAGTCTATTTGTTGGAACTGCAAAGTGAACTATTTCATACATAGTTCATCTTTTTCAATGTTTGTCTGGTTTTGACTTGGTATGAAGTTTAAGAAAACTCCGTACAATGTTAGACCACTTGTACAAAGTAAACTTCATACATGACTTTGCAGTTTACTTGGCAGTTCGAATATTGTTCCATTGTTTCATTTTGTTTGTTTAGTTTTGACTTGGCACAAAGTTTAAGAATATAAACGGACTTTTGAATCTTGTTCTTAAATTAAAGATATGTAGAATGTACCAAAATTTTATTTAATTTCGTGGTCTTATGCATGCACGGTGGAAAGTTAGAAGTAAAGAGTTGCCAAAAAAAAAGTAAGATAGACAAATTGAAACGGAAGGAGTGCTTATTAGTATCACATTTAGATACAAATTTGCTTGAGGGTTCACCTTAGTTGCATCTGAAACGAGATGAATTCTGATCATGGTCCCTTGTTCAGATGCTGTTGCAATGTGAGTTCCACCTGATGAAAGACTCAAGACTGCCAATGGTGAGCGATGAGCGTCTATCTACATTTAATAACAGCAACCGAGATAAGATAAGACCCCTCCATCTTGTAAAGGAAAAGAAAGAGAAAATGCTGGTGAAATAGTTGGTTTAAAGCTAGGAAAATGCTGGACTCTTCAAAATTATGATGTATAACAACTCAAACCCGTTGATCTTGTTATAGATGATTGCGTAATATCAATACATACAAGTAAGAAACACGACCTCACAGTGCAAACGGAGATCGGAAACATTATAGACTAGCAAAGATCCTTTGGTTGTACTTGCTGGAAGGGCCAGAAATGAACCATCCAAGCTGGGTGAAAATGCACAAAGTCCTGAAAATTGAAACAAGAACTCGTTGATAAGAAAATGTGCAAGGCCAACTGGAAATGTTATAGCATCCACTCATTAAACAAAAACTTGAAAGGTATAACACAGTGAGTTCTTTTATTCTTTCCTTTTCTGTTGATATTTTTAAGCGGGGTGGGGAATGTCATCTCGAATATTATGCGAGTCATGTTCTAATCCATCTAGTAAACAAGATTGGCAGTGAGCCATTAAAACTTGAACAAGAAACTTCCAAACAGACCTTTTGGATTCGGCACCGTATCAATTGTGTCCAGTATCTTAAGACTATTTATATCATAAATAAATGTCTTCTCCTGCAATATGACAATCAATCTGCAAATTCGAGGACACTGTTTGAAAAAGATTCGCCAAGGGAAAATAATAAAATATGAGTCGTTAATGAAGATTGACAAAAGTTTTCTTTTTTTTGGTTGAACTAATTGACATGCTTATTTCCACACAAACACTGTTTAATACAATTATGCAGAACCCAAAACAAATGAGCAAATGTGTTATGCGGCGGAGTACTGATAGCCTTTCTGCGGAGACTGAGTGATTGACAAAAGAATTGCTTCGCATTAACAATCAAGTTACAAAGACCAAATATATCCTTCTGTTCTGATTCAGAATCAAAGTGCACAGTTCATAATACAGGGAAAAAGAATCCTACCACAAGAAAAAACAATTTTGCCTTACTCTCCTTTTTAGCCCGTTTCAAAAAGTGTGTCTTTCCAATTCCTGAAAACTCGTTAATTCTAACTTTCCACATGACATGTTTAAGATCACATGATTAAAGGGCATTTTGGTACATTCTACATATTAGTTATCAAAAAAAATCTTAGTTACTTTCTAAAACTCTATGCCAAGTCAAAACTAGACAAACAAATTGAAACGGAGGGAGTGTGTAAATCTTTGTTGCAACAGGAAGTTTTAATTAGTATGATCTCAAGACTCATACTAATGATGGTAACAATTGTCAGTTCAATGACAACAAAAATGTAGTATCAGCTAGCAGAATGAGCTAAGCACCGCCAGTGACTCTCACTTAGGGCAGTGAAAAAAGGATATCTGACATATAAAGGAGATTGCTTTTGCATCTCTGCCAGGATGAGACTGTTGTCTGCGCATTTCAAAATGAATTCTTATCGATTGTTTAATTTTTTTAATTAAGATAAAGATATGGAGAAGACTTCTGGTATATTTCACATATCTTTTGTTTAAGACTATAAGATTCAAAAGTGTTCTTACTTTCTTAAACTCGGTGACAAGTCAAAATGAAACAAACAAAATTGAAAGGGAGGGACTAAAAGTATGAATGGATTGTCATTATGAATAGAATAGATTCCACTTTCTAGGCCCTTGGAATTTCTTAACTCATTCAGCAAAGAACCCGCAGGAGTATAGCTCCATTCAATCTGATCTACAACTTTCTTTGAATAAAAAAAGTTTATTCCTCAAAAACATCAAACTCAGAATGCAAAACGTCATACAAATGAAAAAACAACCAACGAGAATGTTCAACGAGTCAAATGTAGTTTACCTTTTCTTATTCATGCGAACAGCAAGGATAGAAGTTAAGAAGTTTAGTTCCTCAAGAGCTACTCCAGTCACAGTATTAAACAAACACAGTCTTCGAGGCGACAAAGACGGCTGTTGAAATGACACAGGTAGTAAGAAACTGATCAGAAATCCAGTAGATCAATGAATAGTTAAAAGGACTACAATCAGAGCTTGGTAAATTACAGAACCTGTTCACCAGCTCCAACAATTGCGAGAAGGCTTGAGCTAAACAACATTTCTACTATAATAAATGCTCCAGCAACTACCCAAAAAGAACCATTTGTTAGGACATTAAAGCTAACTTGTACCCCGAACTATGTAATACAAATGCAACAAAAAAGATCATTATGTTAAAGATTGTTATATCCCGTAGGTTCCATTTTGACACTAAATATTTGAACTTTCAGCTGATATTGATTTATCAACTACAAACAAGCAAAAAAACACAATAACCACACATCAATCTCAAACAAGTTCAAGTCAGCTATATTCTTTAAATAAAGATACCATTATTATCTGAATTTCCCACTAGCTGATCTATACAACAAAGCAACTACATTTAAAAGTTGTGCAACTTTCTGATTTTTCAAAAGTATTTGAGCTTGGTAAATTGTGGAACCTGTTCACCAGCCCCAACAATTGCGAAAAGGCTTGAGCTAAACAACATATCTGCAATGATGAATGCTCCACAAGCCCTCGGGACTTGACACTGGAAAGCTTGCCCCAGGGTCCTTTGTTTGGTACTGTCCTTTTCCTTTCCAAAGTGGAATCCCTCCTTGCTTTCCCCCCTTTGGCATGTGCCAAACTCCGCTTTTGTTGTTGCCACTTGCCAGGTAGAATGTTTCATTCACCTTGGTATCGGCAACTAAGACACCCTTCTCTATCGAATGTATCTTCAAATCATCATCTTTAAACCACGACTCCAATCACAGTTTCCAGTTGATTTGTCACAGGTGAAAGGGTCAGGTTAACACTTCATAAAATGCGCTTTTACTGCAGCTACCACAAATTTCAATTTGTCACGATACTGAAGCTAACTTGTATCACTAACTTGCACCCAAGGTGTGGGCATGTGGCTTGGTGGTCAAGGGGTGGATCGAGAACCATGAAGTCACAAGTTGAAATCCTACCAGAGGCAAGAACACTAGGTGATTCATCTCTCTGAGCCTTAATCGATAGAGTTACCCTAAGAACTAGTCAAAGTTCGTGCAAGCTTCCCCAAACACCACGACTATATAAACTTCGTAACACAAATGAAACGAAAAAGATCATAACTTTAAAGATTCTTATATCACATATGTTCCATTTTGACACTACTTTACTCAACTTTTCAGCTGGATATTGATTTATCAACTACAAAGAAGCAACAAAACAACAATAACTACACATCAATCTCAAACAAGTTCGAGTCAGCTATACCATTCCAATAAAGATACCATTTTTATCTGAATTTCCTCCTACCTACATCTTTACAAGAAAAAAACTAAAATTCCTAATTTCTCCAAAATATACAAATCAAAATCAAAACTTTATAAGCTTTAAAGAAACCCTTTTTAGCTCATAACTAAATACTGAACAAAAAAATCAAAAAAAAAAAAACAAACAGATCGCTACTTACCTCTTTCATAAAGTAGTCTTCCAGTATTACAATCAAAAATTTTGAACCCTTCCCTTGTTCCAATAGCAAAGCAACTAAATAAAGCAACAAAAAAAAATTTAAAAAAAATATTACAACAAAAAGCTAAATCAAGATTGATAAATCATTAATACCCAAAAAAAAAAAAAAACTTGTAAAATTGAGTATTACCTGTTGTCTTGATTGAAGGAAGCACAAAGAATTGGGCAAGAAGAGGGTTGATTTGCCATCTGATTCTGAAGTTTTTATTTTTTATTTTTTAAAAAAAGAATAAATTTGCAGAGAAAGATTGAAGATGCAGTAAACAGAGTTTAAATACTTCTTTTTTTATTATTATTTTTTTAAAATGTATCCGCTAATTATACGAAACTCGACAAATTTAAATACATGTATAATACTTATTTTTAAGGGTAGTGATATAAGTTTTTTATATCTAGATTAAAATTTGAAGACATTTAATTATAAAGTTTCAGATAGCTACGATAGATTTTGACTAATTCAAATATGCATATAGGGCTTATTATTTAGGATAATGACATTATTTTTGTATTCAAATTAAAATTCGAGAGATTTGATCAATAATTATTTTCTAGTAATAAGTAGTTTCATGTTCCATAGTTCATGAACACAAGAATATATATATAATTTTTCTTTTTTCCTTTGTGTTGTTTCTCTGTTAGATTTCACCATTTTAATTTTTATAATTTTTTTTAATTGTTATCATAAGTTTGTATTGTTATTTGGTTCAAATTAGTCATATGTAATAATTTAACTTGGATTAATTTCATCGATCAAATTCATTTTGACCACTCTATTTTAAAACATATTAGTCAAAACATATTTCGTGAATTTTTCATAATTATCTTTTACCTTAATTTTCTTGTGCTTTCAAATATTTCTTTTCCACCACTGTTATAAATGAGTGTTTCTAAACTTCAAATTTCTCGTAATTTAATGTATAAATATTTTTTTACCTTAATTTCTTTTCATTTTCATATATATCTTTCCCTTGTGTCATAAATAAGTGTCCATATACCTTAAATTCCTCGTGATTCAATCTATAAATATTGATTATTTCTTATATTTTCTTATATAGCCTTTTGCGCTACTATAAATGAGTGTTTCTAATTTATTTGTAAGTTGTTAAAATCCAAAAATTACAAAGAGTACAATAAATGTTTAACTTTGATTTGATACAAAGGTATCATTTCCTTCGGTATTTCTTTCTTATATCTTACTAGACACAAGTACACGCGTGTTGCACGAGCTTAATATTTTAATTTTTATTTTATGTGATGTAAGTAAAATTTAGAAAGGTGATTAAATTTTAATATTATTTTTAGATATATAAGTTGTTAATTACTTTTGTTTGCACAAATTTAATGTGAAGAGGCGCATACTTAAAACATTTTTTGTATCGATCATTCATTTTTTACTTAAAATAATTACAAGATATAAATAAATACTACGAAAATTCAAAATAACAAAGCATCAACTATAAAATGTGGAATTAAAATTAAAAGTCATAGCTAAAACGGATTTCATAATTTCGAAAAAACTATATACTAATTGTTGTGAATTTTTTATTATTAATATAAGTCCATATTGTTATTTGGCTCAAAAATAATATGGATTGTTATTTGGCTCAAATAATATGAATTTAGTGAAAAGTTGAAGTCATTTTTCAATTGGATTCTAAAACTATATTACAAATTTGATTGAAATGTGTCCAAAAATATTTAGTTCACTATATAACTAGTTTATTATATGTGTTTATAGTTTGTAATGTATGAAAATAATCGATACTTTATTATAAAATTTGGGGGAAATTCTTCTAAGTTAACAAAAATGTTAACCATTTATTGCAATACAACACCTTGATTTTTGTTTTCAAAACCCATGTTGATATATGATAGGTTTAAATAGTTTAGTTTAAAGTTTTAAAATGTTACATCAAATTTATCGTAATCTAATTAAAACTTGAAGTTTAAAGAAAATAATGATATGTTCTAAATATTAATTATAACTTTGTTGTAATACATAAAGCGATAAGATGTAAGTACTTCTAAATTATGACCAAATTTCGACAAACTTTAACTTAACTTGAGTGCAATAATTTAAATTTTCTTTCCATATTATCATATGTTTATTTCAATATCTTATGTTATAATTAATTTAAATTTTTCAGCAAAAGATTTTCAAATGTATGAGCAAATTAGGTTATGTTTTTTATTCATTAATTGCGATTAAATATATTTACCCAACAATTTTTAGGATTCACTTTTAATAGATGGAGGATGTAAATATATAATAATTTCATGGTGTCTTGTAGGGCTTATGTTTTAGGACGATAATATTAGTTTGTTTGTATTTAAATTGATTCGAGATATCTAATTTAAGAATGTCCAGTATTTATATTCGATCTCGATTAATTTAAATACGCATATAGGATCCATTTTTTAGGACGACAAACATATTTTTTTTTCTGTAATCATATTGAAGTTTGAGACATCTAAATAAGAGGTGTTTAATATTTATATTGGATCTCAGCTAATCCAAATATATAAAGGCCCATTTTTTAGTATGACGACATATTTTTATTTATTTTTGTATTTAGATTTGAAATCAATGACATCTAATATTAAGGGCCTAACGGGCATGAGATATCAACATTAGACCTCGATTAATTCAGATACATAGGACCCATTTTTTAGGATGACAATGTGATTTTTTTGTATTTAGGTTAAATTAATAAACAATAGGTAACTTTTGTATTTGCCAGTATTTCAATTTGCAATTCCGTAATATCAAATAAATAGCCAAATTAACCAAATCAAAATTTATAATAGTGTGATCTTAAATTGAAGTTGGTTGCTAAGTCTCTTTGTTCTAAATTTTGAGATTCTAGTGGGAAAAAGATTGAAAAAGATAAAAGAGTAGATCATTCATTGTCATTTATGAATTTCTAAAATTTCATCGCAAATTAATTAGAAATTTGCATTATAAAAAATGATTTTTCCATTAAGTTCACTGGAAAAATGCATGATGAAGAACATATTTCATTGAAATATTGGAAAGTTTTCTAGTTTCTTTACGTGAAAATATTGTTAATTTTTTCTTCTCTCACTGATATAATCAAATTATCTGTCCATTTCTCAATGAGAAATTTCAATAGAAAAATAATAAGTTTCTAAGTGGATTATAACTTTCAGTGACAAATAATTCCATAAAACCCGTGGCTAAGTGATCCAACTCACATTGGGCCTAGTGCCCACGTGGTTTGACCAATAGTAGGTCAAGAAATATTAAATGGCGGGGATTTCCGAGAAATACAAATAACCTCTTATTATTGCAGTTGCGAAGATTAATGTTCGAGGAGGTGAGCTATTTGTCATGACCCGTTACTTTGTCATTAAGGTAAGGCATAAATATACGAGAACTAGAATTGTGGATAGATTTGGGGAAGACTCTAGAATACCCTAGAATATATCTTGAAATGCTTTAGAATACTCTAGTGTTGTAGAAAATTCTAGAAGAAGGACTATATTGTAAATATGTAGGAACTTGTGTAGTAATTTTTATTTAGATTTTAGCATCTAAAATTATAGTATAAATAAATGGGCTCGCATTTGTAATTCAATCAAGCAATACTCAAATGTAAAAACAATTTTCCAAAAGCAATACAAATCTCTTTGTAAAAACAAGTGCTCAAGTTATACCAAACAAATACTCCTTTGTTCCATTTTATGTGAGGTAGTATTATAACGCTGCATGGAATTTAAGAACGAACGGATGACTTTTAAAATTGATAGTCTCAAATAAACGATATAGAAATTTGTCCGGCTGTAAATATTTCATGAAGAGTAAAATAGAATTTTTATAGTTAAGTTGTTATTTAATATAGAATTATGTCATTCTTTTTAGGACGGATTAAACCTAAAAAGGAAAAAAATCAATTTTAGATTGGCCAAAGATTATTTTTCTAAATACGGTTTGACTATGAAAAACGTAAAGATAATTAAGTTCCAACTTCTTTCGGTTACTAAATAATAAAGAAAAACAGATCATGTATAATCCTTATACCTTTCAAACATTTTTGTTGTTTCGGCAATATTGTCTAAAAATTTTAATATGTTTTTTTAATGAAATTATGTGGAAAAACTTTATTGATGGCTCATATTTTTGTAGGATCCTTTAGTTTTTTGACGATATGTAACAAAAGGATGAAAATTATTCACTTTTAAATATTTAAGCATATTTTTTTTTTGCTATAAATGATACTTTAGGAGTGTAATTTAATTTTTGGATATAGTTTAAGAAAGTTTTTGGCCAAAACATCTCAAGTACATAAGTGAATCATTTCTTTTTAAATCAACTAAAAATAAAAATGCAAATATTTACTCATAAAGATTGAAACTTTTGATGAAAAGGGCTATTTACATTAGTCCCATAAACTCCTA